TGCTGCAATTCCATGTACCAGTTCAGTAACACTGATGATGTGCAAACAGATTAGTCAAATAATTAGGTATTGCACCAAGTAGCCATGTTCAGTCTGGTGTTCAGTCTGTTGCTGGCACGCACAGCAGCACGTTAATTTTATTTGCCTTTCTGAAAGCACCACAACAAAACACCATTCAAAACTACTTGTGGCGCTACTGCAATTTAAGCTTTAGCATATTATCAATGTTCAGTATTTATTCTAGAGCAGAAATTCAAGCTTGCTGTGCTGGAATTTCAAGAAATAAAGAAAATAAAAACAAATTAGATCTCTTTTAGCATCTCAAGAACAGAACAGCTGGCAAAGAGCTAAAACAATTTCATTGAATGATGTATTCATTACTTGTTTGCTTTCTTCCTGCCCCTGTATATGCTTCACTTCCTCTGTATGGTGACTAGAGTTACACTGGTAAAGTTTTTGGCACGCTAAATGGAGCACATACTAATCCAATTATGATGCTACAGTATTTTCTTAAAACTTCTAAGAATTGTATTGGTCATGGATAGATGACTAAGTAATTGGGACTCTTTTCCCTCCTTTTATTTTACTGAGAAAGCATGGAAGCGGCATTTCAGTCGTGACATTTGTTTTACTTTATTCTTCCAGTGAAGAGCAATGACAAAGGTCACTCTTTCACAGAGTATTTGAAGAGACAGGAAGTAAGTTTTTGCTTGCAGTTATTAACTTAGAGTTGTGAGAGTATACACTACATTTACACTGCTGTCCAGCAAGTCATTTTGTCTTTGTTTTAAGCTATAACAGCTTAAGATCATTCCTTCTGCAACATTTCAAAAGTCATCCCAAATTATTATTAGTTTATCCAATTTTTGCTTAATCTCTTTTCCCTTCCACCCTCATTCCAGCACCTGAATTTTTTTAGCTATCTCTAAATTAATCACTGAATCATGAAAAAGTTTTTGGTTTATTTCACATTCATTTTATTACCAGAGTTGGCTTTCATTTCACATTTCCCCTGTTTTGAATGTGGAACAGCATTATGGTAGATCATATGATGGGGAAAGCCCTTGGGCGCTATGTTACTATTATAAAGTGAACTTTCATACATTTCTTTTTTGAATAAGACCCTTTTGATGCAGGAAATGCTGTAGCCTCTCCCTTCCTCTTGCATGTTCTGGAGAGGCTGGTCCCTAACTCCCAATGCCTTTACTGGTGGATTATATAAAGGCCTTCAGGTTTCCTTATCTCATCAAATTCTCCAGGTGTGATTCAGGGTTGCTTTGAAAAGGGAGGTTTCCAAATCAAAGCTTAAAGAATACAGAGCTGAATGCCTAAAATGGAGGAGGCATTAGAAGACCTACAAATGATACTTCTTCATTAATACAAATCAGCTAAACCTAACACATAGTCAAATGGGTGCAAGACTGGTTGATGTATTGGATAGCTGAGGAGAAACATCAAGTGCAAACTTATTATGAACCCCACACTGTGAACATGACCCTCACATTTGAAAGGCTGATTCATATAATCCAGAGTTTAAACTGTGTTTTAAGACATCATGAGAGAACATGGGGCAAGTCAGGTTTTAACTAAAACATGTTTCTATCTACTAAAAATACAACTTCTGCAAGCATGTGTACTCAACAAGCAAAGCATATCTGTATGCCTACTTTGAGGTATCTTGTCCTACTGTCAAATACAGAGTTCATACTTGATACACCTGAAAATATTTTTACTGTTTCAAACTCAAAAGCAGCTGTGGAATAAAATCGAAGCCACAGAACAGGCTTGCAAGCACAGTAGGTTAAGCTGTAAAAAGCACTCAAAGGTTTATTTGCTACTTGGTCTGGTAATTATCATTCCCTACAAACAAGATACATGTATTTCATTCAGAAAAAGTACTTCTAGCCCTATTTTGACTAGGCAAGTGCTGCACTGCTTAGATTTGCAAGGTCGACATAACCTCAGAAGCTAAGTTCCATTATCAAAAGCTACTTAGGGACAGTTCTGAAAAGCATTTGATTCTATAAAATGTTTTTGGAAGTCAGACATGGTAGATAATTTCCTTTATGAACATGGACTCTGATCATATTTGAAAATAGGCCTTTACACCAGTTTGTTGTAATAAATGGTAGGATACAAACATCCCTTTTCACAGCACAGGGGTTTTCTCTAGAAGAGTTTAAGCCACTGTGATACATCCCTGACATCGTAGTAACAGTTAAAGAACCAAATTACAGCATTTCCTTCTCTTATAAATGGTGATGACTGAGAGGTAGCCAAGAGCTTCACTATGGTTCTTGTACATGAAGAGTGCCTGCTGCGTAACTGCCATCAGAGTCAATCCCCACACGTGCAGACAGCACTCATATGTGTAAGGGAGAAGTGGACAACCCACACCGACAAAATGAGGCCTACCCCACCTCACAGCAGCTGGCAATCCTGGCCCACTTGCCCTCAGGGACTTTGCGGCTGCCTATTTTGCAGCAAGGTGACCTCTCTCAGCTTTGATCAGGGTAGCAAAAGAAAAGCCCACCCAAAGGACAGACAGCAGCCTGCTGCCAGGCCCCAGGCTACCTCTTGTAGGACCTCGACATACCAGGGCAGAACTGCCCACGGCCTGAGCCCCGCTTGCCGTTGGCCCACTGGAGCCCTCTCACCTTCCACCAGCTCATCCAGGCTGGTGAGCTTCTTGCTGCCATCGATGGTGTAGATGGTGCGGACACCCTGGGGCAGGTTCACATTGTCCGACAGGGACCGGGTGAGCTCAACGAGTAGGGCGTCGAAGGAGCGGAAGCGGTCAGTGGAGATGGCATATACCAAGCCCTTGAAGTACCTGTCCCCGTTGCGGTAGAAGCGGGCTTTTCGGGCTTTCTTCTCCGAGCTGAGCGCCTGCAGGGTCCGCGTCCGGTAAAGGCTGCAGTGGGCGCTGTGCGCCGGGCTGGGGATCAGCCCGTTGCCCCGCGGCCCCGCCCCCCCACCGGGGCCGCCGCGGCGCTGTCCAGAGCGCTGCTGCCTCTTGTCCCGCTCCTCGAAGTGCTCCAGCTCGATGCTCCGGTTGTTCGCCATGGGTAGCTGCCTGCCTGTCCTCCCAGCTCCACTGGGATCCAGGCCGGTTACGGGCTGCTAAGCTTATCCCTCGCGTTTGCAAGGGTTCCAGCCGCCTAATTCAGCATCGTGCC